TCAATGCAGAGAATTGTGAGGTGATGCACTTTGGTCGGAAGAATGGTTAAAGACCACATAAGATAAGGAGTACAATTCTAAAGAGCGTACAGAGCAGAGCTACCTGGGCGTATGCGTGCACTGATCATTGAAAGTGGCAGGACGGATGGAGAGAGCAGTTAATAAAGTATGCAGTTTTATTAATAGGGACATAGAGTACAAGAGCAAGGAGATGATGTTGAACTTATACAAGACTCTTGTCAGACCTCAACTGGAGTATTGTGTATGGTTCTGGAAGGATGTGTATGTATTGAAGAGTGTATAAAACTACTTACAAGAATGGTTCCAGTAATGCAAAATGCCAGTTCATAGAATCACTACAGTATGGAAACAGGCAACAGCCAACAAGTCCACAGCAACTCTCTGAAGAGCATCCCACCCAGACTTACCCCTCCTACCTTATCCCTGTAACCCTGCATTTCCTAAGGCCAATCCACCTAACCTACATTCCCCGGGCACTATGGGCAATTTAGCCCAGGCAATCCACATCCGTTGGACAATGGGAGGAAACCGGAGCACCCGGAGGAAACCCACACAGACACACAGAATGTGCAAACTCCACACAGAAAGTCACCCAAGTGTGGAATTGAACCTGGGTCTTTAGCGTTATGAGGCAACAGTGCTAACCATTGAGCCACTGTGTCACCCCTAGTTATGAAGGTAAATTGGAGAAGTTAGGATTGTTCTCCTTGGAGAGAAATCTGAAAGGAGATCTGATGAATGAATGCGAGGACATAGATTTATAGTGAAATGCAAACTTTCACACAACGAGTTGTTCAGATCTGGAATGCGCTGTCTGGAAATGTGGCGGAGGCAAGTTCAATTGAGACATTTGAGAGGGCATTGACTGAATATTTGGATAGAACTGGTGTACAGGGATATGGGGAAAAGGCAGAAATTGGCACTTGGTAACAGAACCAGTGCAGGCACAATGGGCAGAATGGCTTCCTTCTGCACTGTTATGATTCTGTGCTAATCAAGGATTAAACTCTGAGCAGGTTACTAGACTAGCAATATAGTGGAGGAATTAAACAAAAGTTGTGTTTTGGGTTCCTCCGTTTTCAAATAAAGTCCTGATGTTTCTGACATAATGAAGCACCCTGGGATATTTTGCTAGGTTAAAGGAGCGATATAATGTAAATTGTGGATAATACAACAATGAAGCAGGACTGAGGCAATCACAAAGTTGAGTTGAAAGTCCCAATTCAGTTCTTCTTTGCGACTCTCACTTGGAAGTTGCATCTAGAAATACTGCAATAAAGCAAGTAAATACAAACCATGTTTCAGATTACATATCCTGTTAAATGTTTATTTAGCAAGATATCATTCTAAATCAGCAAAAAAAAGCTGATAACCACTTTCTTATCATATCGCATTATTACCATTTGCACTCACACTTCACAACCTTTACTCCCAATTCAGTTCTATTCATTGAGCATGACATGATTGCATGGTGATGTTTCCTGATAGTGCAAATCAGGCGTCAATTTTCTGAAACAAAAACTCTAAATGCTGGAAATACTTAGCAAGTCTGGTAAAATTTGCGGGGAAAGAAACAAAGTTAATGTTTCAGATGAGTGAAATTTTCTGTTTCAGTTTTCCTGCAGTATTTTGATTTTGTGTTGCAGCAGGTGATTGGGTTTTGTATTGGTGCAGGTGATCTGGTTATTGATTCCATTGCTGTTTGTGAGATTCTGCATGACATAGTTCCTTTGTTTGCTGACATATTGATAAACAGTGAGTGGTTAAGTGCTTTAGGATTCCTGTTGCAGGGAACTGCATCAAACTCTCAAGATCATTCCAGTTGAGAGAGGTTCTTTAGCTTGAATTTGACCTCCTTCCCAAAATCCACAAACCTGAATGCCCTGGTCGACCCATTGTCTCAGCCTGCTCCTGCCCCACTGAACTGATCTCCAACTATCTGGACTCCATTTTCTCCCCCTTGGTTCAGGAACTCCCTACCTATGTCTGTGACACCACCCACGCCCTCCACCTCCTCCAGAACTTCCAATTCCCCGGTCCCCAACACCTCAACTTTACCATGGACGTCCAGTCCCTCTACACCTGCATTCCCCATACAGTTGGCCTAAAGGCCCTCCGCTTCTTCCTGTCCCGCAGGCCTGACCAGTCCCCCTCCACTGACACCCTCATCCGCTTAGCCAAACTCGTCCTCACCCTCAACAACTTCTCTTTCAATTCCTCCCACTTCCTACAGACAAAGGGGGTGGCCATGAGTACCGGCATGGGCCCAAGCTACGCCTGCCTCTTTGTAGGTTACGTGGAACAATCCCTCTTCCGTACCTACACTGGCCCTAAACCCCACCTCTTCCTTCGTTACATTGATGACTGTATCGGCGCCGCCTCATGCTCCCACGAGGAGCTCGAACAGTTCATCCACTTCACCAACACCTTCCACCCCAACCTTAAGTTTACCTGGACCATCTCTAATACCTCTCTCCCCTTCCTGGACCTCTCTGTCTCCATCTTGGGCAACCACGTAGAAACCGATATTCATTTCAAGCCCACCGACTCCCACAGCTACCTAGAATACTCCTCCTCCCACCCACCTTCCTGCAAAAATGCTATCCCCTATTCCCAATTCCTTCGCCTCCGCCGCATCTGCTCCCAGGATGAGGCATTCCACTCCCGTACATCTCAGTTGTCCTCGTTTTTCAAGGACCGTAACTTCCCCCCCTCAGTGGTCGAGAACGCCCTCCACTGTGTCTCCCACATCTCCAGCAACTCATCCCTCACACCCCGTCCACGCAATAAGAACCAAAAAAGAATTCCCCTCGTCCTCACGTACCACCCCACCAACCTCCGGATCCAACGCATCATCCTCCGACACTTCTGCCATCTGCAATCCGACCCCACCATCAAAGACATCTTTCCCTCCCCACCTTTATCTGCTTTCCGGAGGGACCACTCTCTCTGTGACTCCCTTGTCCGCTCCACACTCCCCTCCAGCCCCACCACACCCGGCACTTTTCCCTGCAACCGCAGGAAGTGCTACACCTGCCCCCATACCTCCTCCCTCACCCCCATCCCAGGCCCCAAGAAGACTTTCCACATCAAGCAGATGTTCACCTGCACATCTGCCAATGTGGTATACTGCATCCGCTGTACCCGGTGTGGCCTCCTCTACGTCGGGGAAACCAAGCGGAGGCTCGGGGTTGGCTTTGCAGAACACCTACGCTCGGTTCACAATAAACAACTGCACCTCCCAGTCGCGAACCATTTCA